GTGTGTGTGTGTGTGTGTGTGTGTGTGTGTGTGTGTGTGTGTGTGTGTATTTGGGTAGGTGGGATTTTGCCCTGAGGGATTCAGGGAAATGTTTGTTCTTGCTATATCTTTGAATTTCTCTTTGTAAAAGCCCGTTGAGGTTAAGTGGTTAAATGGAACTGGGGTGCTACTCATTGGCCTAAAATGGGAAGACCACAGACTGTGGAGGGTTCAATCAGTAGTAATTGAGAGATTGCCCCTCAACCTCTCAGGACACAGTTGAACCCTGATGTAGTAACCTGGCTCAGAAGAGGGCTCCAGAGCACATGTTATATATTTAAATCCTTTTAGATGGATCTGAAGCCATGATTGCACACTAGCTATTTCTTCATGTAGTATTTAGTGCCATTTTCATGTTTTAGTTAATTATCACAGAATGCCAGTAAACCTCAGAAGGGTGAAAATTATCTATCAAGTAGGAGAGTTTTAGTCTAAAATTTTCACTACTGCTTGTAAGTAAAATCTTAAAACAGAAATGGCTTTTTCATAGACTTACTTTCTTGATGCACATTTACAGGCTATGTCTTAGAATTGGTGGACGGTGGCCAATGAAGAAATGACTAAATGCTAACAATTCTCTTATACTGAGTGCCACACACAGTTTGTTAAAATAGTCATTTTGCAAAGAATTCTCTGAAAAGTAGTTTTACTTTAACCACTTATTCTGCTCTTGGAGACTGCATTGCAAAAGAAGTTGGCTTGGAGTCTGTGTGCAAAAGTATATAAGATGCCTGACATCCATTATAATTATAGACAGCCTCCAAATTATGAATAGGTTCAAAGAACATTTTAAAGTCAGTTTGGAATTTGGAGCATATTTTCCCATAGCAACAATGCTATAAAAGTTATGTTCTTATGCTAGTGCAAAAGACTATAGTACTGAGCTTATAATACAACCAAAAGAGCATTAAAAGTAGTTTAAGAGCTTAATTCCAGAATTACAGAACCATGAATTTAGAATGGGAAGGGACCTTACAAGTCATCTAGTCTACACCTTTCATTTTACAGATGAAGAAATTGAGACCCAGAGAGGTAAAGAGATTTATCTCAGGTCCCATGTATCATAAGTAGTAAAGTTAGGATTTGATCCCTAGCCGGAGTTCCCACGTCCTTAGCCTCCCTGTGCTCCCAGGAGGGCTAGAAGTGTGGTAAAGAAGTAGAGACTCTGGCAACTGGACAATATTAATGGAATTAGAGGGAAAAGGTTTCCAGAGGTGGGGAACAGGGTTATGCAGCTGCTCTTCTGACTTTCACAGAAGTGTTGGAAAAGAACTTCAAAGCAAAGGGAACAGTAATAGTAGATGATGGACCAGGGAGAAATTGGCATTAGTGGCAGGGAGGGGTGGTAGACGCAACAGTGCATACACATGGGTTATTTTCTAAGTCAAGTGTTCACAAAATAGGAAGTCTTTGAGTTCTATGTTAAGTTGGGGTCTATCTTTTCTTTATCAATTTTTTAACTCTAGTAAATTTCTACAGATAGTCGTATCTCAATTCTGTTTGTAGATGGCATTGTGCTTATTGTAGCAAGCTCAAGATCTCCAAAATTAAATACATGATCATTCAAAAAAGTTTTGCCTGCCTATGCACATAGGAAAAATCAAATGGATGAATGAAGAATGACTATAACATGCAATTGGAGAGACAACTGATAAAGCCGGTCCATGAGTAGCCAAATCTTGGACAGAAGCTGCAGACAATGATTTGCACCCAGACCTGAAAAGGACAACAATGGTCTGGATTGTTATGGGAAATTGTGCAGTGTTTTTCATGACCCTAAGCTTCTCTTTGTAACCAAATCCCATATTCTAAACATGAGCATTCTTCTGGTATGGCACTAAATTACAGAATACCATAGTCTCCAAAGACTTAAAATTGAGGGTCATGGAAGGAAAAGCACATGCACATTTTGGGTATGGAATCTGTAATGTATTAGAAAAGAAAAATTGCACAAGAGAAATGACTTAATGGAAGTGATCAGAAACATAAATAACTAGAAAAGAAGGCGGGTTAGTTATGTAGCAACTATGAAGGACAACTAGGAGAGCCCATTTATTCCACGGAAATCCAAACAATGTCAAGAGATCCAGGGGAAGGCTCCCAGCATATTGGGTGAATCTCAACATATGGAGGATTTATAAGATTACCTGGACAAGAGTTGCATAGGATTGAGAACGTATGTGTAGATCTGTTGTGATCTACACTGTTGAAAGGAAACGCCCACATTGATGAGTCAGAGATCCATTAAAGTCTTTTCTACTTGTAGAAAGGTAGAGAGTGTTCATGTGCAAAATGGTTTATGAGCTTTCATCTATTCTTCTCTATTTGTAAAGCATTTAGCACAATACCTGACATATAGTAGGTGCTCAATAAATGTTAGTTATCCTTGCCTCCCCCCTCATCTTTCCTCTATGTATGGATTCCTTTCATATTACCAAAGAACTATTAAAGGCTGAAATATACAGTTGTGGATAGTCTAAAATTTCACTGCAGTGCTGAAATTGCTTTAGTTTCAGCATGGAAAAATTTGGTAAATTTGATATGATTCTAATCTTTCCCCAAATGACCTCAAGATGACTGGACCTCTGGTTGGTAATCCTAATTTGCTCCTTCTTTGGACTCTACTATTTTTGACTCCTTTCTTCCTTTTCCCCATTTCTCCAATGTATTTTCCTGATCATTTTCATTTGGCCCACATGCACAAGTCAAGTACATACAGGAGGCAAATCTTTCCTCAAAAGAGAAGATAAAATTCCTGCCTACTTTGCAGTTCTCCCTCTTGCTGCAGGAATGGTTAAAAAGACCAGGTGCATCAACTGTGTTAATTAATGCATGAATTTTTAAAACAATTATTTCATAATTTTTATATTTTTGCTATAAATTCTACTACTTGTGTAAATGTACTTTAAATGCAAATAGTTACAAGCAGATATTATAATTTTGCTTTTAAAATAACCACTTTCATTCTATTATTTCTATTTCCTTTGCCTTGTGGATTAAAAAAAATGCACTACCCCAACTGATGTAGCTTGATACTTCGAGGTATTCTTAAATTCTGGGTCTCTTAGTATTGAAAGAATCTTTGTGAAGTCACACTGGCTTTTTAAAAAATTGACTTCACAAGATTGGACATTATTGACAAACCTAAATTTCCTTTAAAACAGTGTAATTTAGTAGGCTTTTTTTTTGTAGATGATAGACAAGTTACAGTTCAGTTAATGAAATTTTGAAGAACAGTTGTTTTACATGGTTCACAGCTGCCCATTACACATATTTATAAATGGTGCTAATTTGAAAATAGCAAGATAAAGAGATTTAGTTCTGACTGCAGTGACTTAAAAAAAAAGTTCAGAAGTTTATATTGTAGCCTGGTAGAAGTCAGGAAGCCCCTTTCCCTATAATCTCTGGCAAAACACTTCTCAAGCCTTAGTTTTCTCATATTGTTTGTAAAATGAGGAGGTTGGACTATGTGATTTTTAAGGTTCCTTTCAGTTCTGAGTATTTTAAAATGGCTTAGTGTTTTTGGAAAGGCAGTGCTAAAGTCAGTAGACACCCGAGGTTGGGTCTTACCTCTTACATTTACTAGCTAGGTAGATGAGTCATTTAATCACTCAGCCTCATTTGTTTCAGCTGTACAATGGGAATTATCATATTAGTTGTACTTATCTCTCAGGAGTGGAGTGAAGAGCAAATGAAATTATGTATGTGAAGTACTACATAAATGTCAATTCTTTTAAAAAAATCTTTCAAAATTCATTCTCTTACCCATTTGCTTCCTCCCCCTTTTGAAAAGTCAGATTTTTCTACGTTTAATGTAGAAATACATCCTAGCTCTCCTTTTCTCATTTTTTTTTTACCTTCTCCCTTTCTTGATTTAGAGGGAATAGGACTTCCTTCTCTTCCCATTTGCCATGGTTTACTTTCGTGATGCATTTCTTCTTCAATTCCACTTTCAGATGACTGCCCACTCAAAGTTCCTTCATTCCAAGTTTTACAGTTTTCATCTGAATTGTGTCTCTGGTGTCCTTGAATTCTGTATAGGGTTGACTCCGATTCTACGTCTCCATCAGGGCTGGTGCCATTGCAAACTTTAGACTGAGTACAATGTTGTGTTACAAATCCAACAAATTTCATTCCTCTTTTAGCAGCTTCATTTATCTGCATTTTAAATGAGATGAATAATGAAGGATAAGTATACAAGCAAATCTGAGTTTTAATTTTGCTTATGAACATATAATTAATAAAATCATAATTTTTCATAGAATAGATCAGACTCCATTGATCTTTATTAGTTATTGAGTATCTTTACCAAACAGCTTTCTGTTATTAGATCTTTTGACCAAAGTACTTAAGTACTTTGTAATCCTTTGCAAGAAAAGCATCTCATATTAACTGTATATTCCAATTAATATAATTCATGAGATGTGCTATGCCCTGACATATTCATCAGGTGAAATTTCCTCCTTGATTGAGCAACAAAATCAAAAGCATAAACTAGGTGTAGAAAAAACATAGTTAAGATGGGAAGAAGTTAAAAAAAATACAACTTAACCATTGGGTGAAATCAGATAAAAAAAAGCTGTATTGGGATTGGTTGAAAGAATTAGACACATCTCTGGATCTATGTTTATCAGAGGATACGATTCCAGCAATTACTTCAGGAGCTAAGCTTTGGGAATGCTTTGAGTAGCCAGATTCTTGTGTCTACAAATAGAAGTCAGTAAAAAGAGGTGGGGAGAGTCCAGAGGGAAAGCCACATTCCCTTTTCTCTTCTCTCCTGTCATTCCAATTATCCATGCCATCTAAGAAAATGGACCAGTAACAACCAATGCATCTGGCTGGGTGCTGAGAGAGGACAAACTAGACAAACTGAGGAAAGGCAGCTTGAGAGCATGATTTCAGTGGGGTGGAAAGAAATGCAGCTCCAGGATGCTAAACTCTCTCCAGAGGTCAGCAGAAAGCTGCTCACAGCTTTTTAATTTATTAAAGTGCAGAGGTGACTGTGGGTTTTCAACGTCTAGGCCAATGGAGTGTAAGTTCCAAGAGGTCTTACAAAAAGTTGGAAAGGATTCAAGTATAAGCCTATATACATTACCTGAGGAACAGCATAGCTAAGTCCTTAAAATGTTCTTCATTACTAGAAAATTGGCTACCAGATGATGAACTTTGTTTTTGGCCAGAACTTATGAAAACTGTCTACTAGGGTGTGAAGGCATTGTGATTTGTATCGATGAAATCAGAGTAATGAAATCAGTCATTCTTGAAGCCAGAAGAATTAAGCATCTAATAATGAACAACCACAAATTTTTTTTCTGTTCTTACTTCCCTTTCCAGTCTTAACTCAGTGGTTAGCTATTTTAGTACTGTTGTTTCCTATGCGCTTAAAATTCTTGATCTCCTTTTTCCCCATCTTCCCCTATCTTGCTAACCCCTAGCTCTATAACTTTGGAGTCATCCTTAATTCTTTATTATCTCTCATCACATATATATAGTCTTTTTAAAATTTATTTTGATTTTGGTGAGGCAATCGGGGTTAAGTGACTTGCCCAGGGTCACACAGCTAGTAAGTGTCAAGTGTCTGAAGCCGGATTTGAACTTAGTTCCTCCTGACTCCAAGGCCGGAGATCTATCCACTGCGCCACCTAGATGCCCCATTAGTCTTTTTAAAAAAATTATTTATTTAGTATTTTATTTTCCACCAATTACATGTAAAAAACATTTTCAACATTCATGTGTAAAATTTTGAGTTCTAAATTCTCTCCCTCCCTCCTCACCCCTCTCATTGATAAGGCAAGCAATTTGATATAGGTTATACAACATATATGTAGTCTTGCCAATTTTAGTTCTGCCAACATGGACACCACCCTACTTCATTAACTTTCTCACTTGAATTATTGCAATAGCTTCTTAATTGGTCTCCCTAATTCCAAATTCTTCCTTCTCCAATACATCTTTCACACAGTTGCTAAAAAATAATCATCCTAAAGCATGGGTCTGAGAGTATCACTCAAGAATTTTCAATGGCTCCTTAACAACTCTAGGGTAAAGTATGAAAATTCTTAATTTAGTGTTTAAAGTCCTAATAATTTAGTTCCAGCTTACCCTTCTATCCTGATTTCACTTTACTCCCCTTTATAGACTACGTTCCGGCCAAACTGGCCAATTTGATGTTCTTCAGTTTAGGTATTGTATGCTCTGCCTCCATGCATTTTTACTAAGTTATCTTTCCCTCCCTCATGCCTGGAATATATTTCCTCCTCACCTCCATTTTTTAGAACCATTAGTTTCTTTCAAAGTCCAGACCAAGTGTACTTCCTACTGGAAACCTTCCATGATAAATGTTAGTGTTCTTTCCTTTTTCAAATTATAGAGTATTTACTTGTTTGTACATATGTTGTATTCCCATTAGAATGTAAACTCCTTGAGGCCAGGACTATTTGTTTTTGGCCTGGCTTCTGGTTGGTGCTTAAAAAAAGTTTGTTGAATTTCAATTTGCTTCTAATCCCAAGTAGCAAAAATGCTGCTGGAGAAAAAAATCACAAGACCATGTCCATTACAAAGCTATTCTATCTAACCTCAAATAGGCCTTCATAGCTAACATAGCAATCTTTGTATTCATTCCCTATTATATATTCCCCATAACAGGTGTTCCAAACCTTCTCCTCTTTCCTCATGACTTCAACTTGATTCACCCACTCCTTTTTCATTTTCAGCAGATGATCTTAATTCCTATTTTAATGAAGATATTAAAGTCATCTGATTTGAATTTCCTCAACTCCTCTCTTCCAAACCCTCTAAAAATGATTACCCAGATCCTTCTCTCCCATGTACCTTCAATATCTCCCATTTTACTGGTTCCAGTCTATATGCTACAAATATACTCAGGACTTCTCTAACCTAAAAAACAAATTAAAACTAAATCCAAACCATTCTTTCCTTGATCCTACTACTCCCACAAGCAATTATTTCCTTAACACCAGTCTACTCTTTAACCTCTTATCATTTGTCTTTTTCCCCCCACAATTTCACTGAAGCTGCTTTCTTCAAGACCATTAATGACTTCCTTTATCACCAAGTCTGACTCTTTTTTGGTCCTTTTTGGCTCTCATGATGTTACACTCTCATGATTCTTCTCTTAACACTCTGACTGATACTACTCTGTCTCATGTGATGGCATTTAACTCTTGAATGTATATCTATAGGAATTCTGTCCTTACCTGCTTCTTTTTATTTTGTATACTATGTATTTTGCCATTTTCACCCACTTCCATGGCTTCAATGATCACTTACTCATAGATGACACATTAGTCTTTATCTTTCCTAGCTTCCCCTCATAGAGCAGCTAGTTAGCATAGTGGATAGGGTGCCAGGTCTGGAGTCAGGAAGACTCATCTTCCTGAGTTCAAATCTGGCCCCAGACACTTACTAGCTGTGTGATCCTGGCAAGTCACTTAATGCTGTTTGCTTCAGTTTCCTCATCTGTAAAATGAGCTGGATAGGGATATGACAAACCACTCTGGTATCTTTGCCAAGAAAACCCCAAATGGGATCATGAAGAGTTAGATATGACTGAAATGAATGAACAAAAAATTTCTTCAGAGATCTAATCTTCTATAGCTAACCGCCTGCTAAATAGCACCATCTGGAAATTCTATTGGTATCTCAAACTCAACAAAATTCCTGCCCTTTCTTTTGATGGTACCACTACCCTGCCAGTCATCTATGCTTAAAATGACGATTGACTTCCACTGCAATACTCCTTCTTCAGGTCTTCATTTCTTCTTACCTAGACTATTGTAATAGCATCATAACTAGTTTTCCCACTAGCAATCTCTTCCCTCTCCAATCTACCTTTCTCATTGCTGTCTGAATAATCATCCTAATTCGGAGTTCTCATCTTCAATCAATAAATCAACAATCATTTATTAAGCACCTACAAAGACAAGAATTGAACAGTCTCTATTCTCAAGAGCTTACATTGTATAAGGGTACATAACATATACATAAAAAGTATAGATAGTGATAATGATAATAGTGGTAGTAATAGTAGTAATAATGATCATGATGATGATGAAGATAATGATAATAGGTGACATTTATATAGCACCTACAATGCGCTAGGCACTGTGCTAAGTACTTTACAAATATATGATTTGATCCTCACAACCAGCCTGGGAGGAAGGTGATATTATTCAGAAAATGGAGGCAGACAATAAATACAAAAATAAATACAAGGTAGAATTTGGAAGGAGGGCAGTAGCATTTGCAGGGAGGGAGTTGCGAATCAGGAAATTGAAGTGATTTATCCAAGGTCATACAGGTAGAAAGTAGCAGATCTTGTCACTTCTTTACTCAAAATCCTTCAATATTTCTCCAATAACTATTAAATCAAGTATAAATTTCTTATCCTGGCACTTAAGGGTTGTCACAGTCTGGCTCCAACCTACCTTTCCAGCCTTATTTCATACTATTCCTTTTCACATAGTTTATGTTGCAGGAACATGACAGTAGTCACTAGACTACTTTTGCTCTTTCTTCTTGTACTGTCCACCCTTGTCTCCATGCTCTTCTTCATATTGTTTCCCATCTCTAGAATGGGCTGCCCTCTCACTACCATCAATATTTGCTAAAGTCTCTCCCTTCCTTGAAACTTTCCCTAGAATGAAAAATTTTCAAAATTTTGCCTACCCACTTTTCACTAGATGAAAGTGATTTCTCTCTAACTTAGTAAGTATCCAAGGCTAGATTTAAATTGAGGTCTTCTTGACTCCAAGTCCAATGCCCTATCTACTATCCCAAGCTATCTCCTAATGGGAGCTTCTCTTCTCCAGGCTAAATATGCCTAGTTCCTTCAACTGATCTTCAAGTGGTATAATCTCAAGGCCCTTCACCATCCTAGTTGTCCTTTGTCCAATTTCCAGATTATCAATGTTCTTCGTAAAATGTGGTGCCCAGACTTGAACACAATATTCCAGATATGGCCTGCACAGGGCAGAGTACAGTGGGTCTATCACACTTTTAGAAACAAAGGGGAAAGGGAAAAGGGAGAGTAGGATGAAATTGGTAGAGGGAGAATAAAGAAGGCAAAGTTGGAGAGGACTAAGGAAGAGAGAAGAAATTGGAGAAAAGAAAGAGGGACAGAATAAATGGGATAGACA